TTTTTTTTTTTTTAAGGATTTTTTATTTTTAAGTAATCTCTACACCCAATGTGGGGCTCGAACTCACAACCCCCAGATCAAGAGTCACATGCTCTGCTGACTGAGCCAGCCAGGTGTCCCCCAGTACTTGCTCTAAAAATGTTTTGAACATCCCATGAATAACTAGTATGTATGTGTGCTTATAGCTGCCAAAATCTCCCTAGAATGAAAAACAGAGCCATGGACAGCCAGATTGGGATAAGAAATCCACCGAAATTAAACGAGTGAGAAGAAAAGGTCCAAAACCTTTTAGAGTTATTTCCTTTGAGGCAGTCTCTTTGTTCATTGTGTAGCATTTAGCAGCTTATGATTCAGTTCCCCATTGCGGTAGAACAACCTCTCCCATGTATTAAAAATATATGTTTGATATTTCTCACAATTCTGAGAGTTGGTTGGTTGGTTCCTTTGTGGTTTTGTTTGGGCTTACACAGTTATGTTCAGCTGTAGCAGGGATCAGCAAAATTTTCACTAAAGAGCCCAATAATGTGTATTTTAGGCTTTGTCTCTGTTGCATATTATTCTTATTTATTTCTTTTTTTTTTTTTTGCAAACCTTTGAAAAGCAAAAGCTATTCTTAGCTCAAGGGCCCAACATAAAAACAGTCTGAGGGCCAGATTTGGCCCTTAAGCTGTAGTTTTCCAAACCCTGAATTGAAGAGTCAGTTGAGCTGAAGGTCCAAGGTAGTCTCACATGTCTGGCAGTTGGTGATGCTATCCGCTGAGGGCCACGATTCTTCTCCTGGAGAATCTTCTGGGAGGATTCTCTCATTGACAGGAGGATGTGGCCCCTCAACCTTCACAGGCGACGTTGTCCGTGTGTGGGCAGCATCTATGCAGGTGGAAGCTGTCAGACTTATTAAAGCATAACCTGGGGAGTCAACAAGGTCACATATGCCACATTTCGTGGATCAGAGGAAACCCAGAGGCCAATTTGAATTAAAGGGCTGGGCAAATAGTAATAGTCTCTCACTCTCTATGGGAGTTGCTGCAGATACTGTGGCCACAGCTAGCTGAACTAAATGGCAGATTTCTGCTGTGTGCCCCACCAAGGGAGATCAAGGGCTGATGATGACCTTGACATTAGACTGGCTCTCAGAGCCTTATTCAGATCATTTCAAATTGAGTTATAAAACTTCAAATTTATGATCTCCGATGGCAGTTTATTGTCTTACTCTCTCCTTTATCCATACTGCATTTCTCTAGCTCCTGCATTTCCTGTAAGCTAGCAGGAAGGTTGAGAGGTTTGATTAGATGGAAAGAATCCCTCGCACTTTATGATGCCTTTATACTTACCATCCTGTTTCTGACTCTGTGAGCACTGACTCACTTTCCTCAGTACTTGTTTAGAAGTGCCCCTGCCTTGAGATTATCCACTTCCTGAGAGAAATGATCATGCCCTCCCACCCCACCTGGCTGATATATCTTCAACAAATATGCATTGAATTTAACTGAATAGTTTTATGAAGTTTAAAGTCAGATCGTTTGCTTACTTCACAAAAGCAGAACAAATTTAAGAATCCCAGCACTCACTATAAATTCTAGAAGAACAGCATGCATCAAAGAATTATATTTCATACCCCGATACTGTCTAACCAATCAGATGGTTAAACTTCCTAGACATTTTCCAAATACATAGTCAAGAGTTAGGAAGCAGTCTGCTTAATGATAAGTTTGAACTAGCAATCACCTTTAAAGACTTACTACATTTTAACTTTAAATTTGTCTGCAGATGAAAATCGAAACATAACAACAGTTTGTAATATATGCCGAGTATCTTCCAAAGCAGAAGTGATTCTGGAGAGGGTTTCTAATCTACAGTAAATGCTGCTACTAATTGCTCAGTTGAATTTTTTAATATGTGTTTTCTCCAAAATCTCATTGTAACTCTGTCTTCTTCTACTTGATGGAAAGCTTTGACAATTTATTATGTTTAGAAGCAGCTGGGGTGTATTTCTAATTGATGATTTGTTATCTTATTTTTCTTACTTGACTGTCCACATTTTTCATTCTCTTCAGCATTTTCCTCCAGCATCTCCTATCTTACTGAACTAGATGGATGGTGCTGCTTTGGTGCAACGGCAGGCCGTATTTCAGTCTCTCCTCTGTGTCCTTCCATCAGACTGTGGGTACGTGCAGGGCTGATGCTAGATGACATGTCTATGGCTTGAACATTAACAAAGTGTATGTGTTCACATACACTGTATCAGCTGATTGTTAATGCATCAGTCCTGGGGGATGGATGCTATCACTGTCTTCATTTGGCAGGTGAGGAAACCAGTGAACAGATGTCCCAGAATACCTCAGATTTAACATGTCCAAGTCAACCTCGTAAAATCTTTTTATTCTCTGGATACCTGATTTGGTTAAAAGCAGCCCCATTTATCAGTCACCCAAGTTTGACCTTCAGTTCTTCTTTTTTCTCCCTTAACTCCACAGGTCCACTCAGTCACCAAAATCCTGTGGCTTCTCTCTCTCTCTCTCTCTCTCTCTCTCTCTCTCTCTCTCTCTGAGACCCCTGCCCTTCTGATCCATCATGTGCTCCCTAGAAAGCTTTATCTCACACCTGGGTTTATGTCCTAGCTTTCTGTCCACTCCCCTGACATCCAGGTTGCCTGTCTGGTCTTTCACATTGAGCAGTCTTCCTCAAACCCAAATCTTTCCATGCACTCTGGTTTTAAATTGGTCAGTGGTTCCCTGCAGGGCATAATCCAAAGGGCTATAAAGCCCTTCACAATCTGCCTCAGCCTATCAGTTCCTTCTGTTCTGGTTCCTACTGTGGGTACATTTTCATGTACTTGTCTTTGTACCCACTGTACCCTCAGAATGTAGTTTCACTCTCTGATTCCCTCCACCCTAGGAACTCACCTATCTAACTCACCCAAGGCCTATGTCTTCTGTAGTTGTGCTTCTCAAACTTGAATGTGCGTGAGAATCACTGGGAGGGTAGGGGATGTCTTGTTGAAAGCAGATTCTGATTCAGTAGGTCCCTGGATGGAGTATGAGATTCTGCACTTTAACAGACTGATTGGTGATGGGATACTCCTAGTCGGTGGGCCATACTTCAGGCAGAAGAGTCTAGAGCTGCAATGTCCAGTAGAACTTTCTCTAAAGATAAACATGCTCTCTGCTTTCTAATACCGTAGACACTAACCACTTGTACCTACTGAGCACATGAAATGTAGCTCATGAGACTGAAGAATTGAATTTTTAATTTTACTTAATTTTAAGTAGCCGCATGTAGCTAAGTGGCCACCATGTTGAACAGCAGATCTATATGAATCCCTTTTCATCTTTCAAAATTCATTTCAAACATGGCTCAAGCTCAGGACCAGGCACATAATTTGTGGAGCCCAGTGCAAAATGAAAATGCAAGGACCCTTGTTAAAAAATTAAGAATTTCAGGATAGCAACAGCAGAGCATTAAACAAGCACACTTCTAAGTACGTAAGTCCCATGCCCATGAAGCTGCCCTGCATAGACCAGGAGAAAAACTAACAAAAGATATGGACAGGTAATTCACTGAAGAGGAAATCTGCATGGTCAATAAATGTTTGAAAAGAGGCACATTTTCATAGGAATCAAGGAAATGCATATTAAAGCCACAATGAGATATCCTTCCATATCTGCCAGAAATTTTAAAGTCCAATAATACCAGGTTGTCAGTATATAGTCACTGCTGGTGAAGGTATTGTGTATCACTTCTCTAGCAAGTTGTATCACCTCTCTAGCAAGACTGAAGATGTGCATGTCCTATAAACCAGCAACTCCACTCTTAGGTGTCTTCCCTGGAGAAACCCTTGCGCATGCATACAAGAAGATATCTGCAAGAATGTTTATGACAGCTGTCTTTTAATGAGGGGAATTTGAAACAAACTAAAAATACACACATGGGAGACTGATAAATAAATGCAGTATTTTCTTAGGAAGAATTTTATGTTAACATTTAAAATGAATGGATTAGAGCTATATTTCTTATCTTGGATAAATTTCAAAAATATGACATTGATCAAAGAAAACAAGTTCCAGAAAGGTGCTATTTGTGAGTATGTTTTACAGATGTGAAAGCCATAGCTATATATTGTTTGTAAATATACATGTACGGTAAACATATATAACCAAAGCACAAAAGTGATAAATGCCAAAATCAGCTTAGTGATTACTTCTGGGGATGGGATAAAGGGACAGAGACTAGGGTGCCCAGGGCACTTCACTGGATCCACAATGATTTATTTCTTTAAAAATAATGTTTTGGCTGAGACAGACACACACACAGAGGAAATAATGCAAGTACTAGAAAAAAGTAATGGATGAATTGCTTTTTAAGAGAAGGAAAACTCTGCACAATGTGACTCAAAGTTAAGCAATAAAAGATTCACAAGTACATCTATAAATAATTTTAAAAACATTTTTTCATAAGAAAAAAAAACCTTAAGAAAAATAAAAGAAAAAATGACAACTTGGAGGGCGCCTGGGTGGCTCAGTTGGTTAAGCGACTGCCTTCGGCTCAGGTCGTGATCCTGGAGTCCCGGGATCGAGTCCCGCGTCGGGCTCCCTGCTCGGCAGGGAGTCTGCCTCTCTCTCTGACCCTCCCCCCTCTCATGCTCTCTTTCTCATTCTCTCTCTCAAATAAATAAAATCTTTAAAAAAAAAAAAAAAAATGACAACTTGGAGAAAATATTTGTATTGTATATGATTAAAGGGCTACTATTTTTTCTCAGTATTTCATTATGAACATTGTCAAACATATAGCAAATTTGAAAAAATTATGTAGGAAACACCCATATATCCACTCATATTATTTTCGATGCATTCAAAGTAAACCGCAAACATCAGTATACTGCTTTTTAAGTACTTCTACATGTTTATCACTAATCAGAGTTCAATATTTGTTTATGTCTCCAGACATAAAATTTAAACACAATAATGCACAAAACTTAAGTGTACATTCACTGATTTTTGACATGCATACACCTGTGTAACTCAAACCCCTATCCAGAGAGCTAATATTAGTAATATACCGAGCTCCTAAAAATTGAGAATCAAATACTAACAATATAGTAAGAAAATGAGTAAAAGATATGAACAGACAGTTCCACCAAAAAATACAAATAGCCTCTAAGTGTATGAAAAGATGCTCAATCTTTCTATAATAAGGGAAATATTTAACAATGAACAATCAGAAAAGGAAATTAAGAAAACAACTCCATTTACAACAGCAAAAATAATAAAATACTTCGAAAGACTCATACACTGGAAACTATAAAACATTGCTCAAAGAAATGAAAGAAAACATAAATGGAAAGATATTCTGGGGGTGCCTAGGTGGCTCAGTCAGTTAAGTGTCCCATCTTGGTTTTTGCTCAGGTCGGCGTCCTGAGATCAAGCCCCACGTCAGGCTCCCACTCAGCACTGGGTCTGCTTGTCCCTTTCCCTCTGCTCTTCCACTCCCTCCCTCACTCCCCGACTCTCATAAATAAATAAAATCTTTAAAAAAAAAGGTATTCTGTATTTGTGGACTGAAAGACTTAATATTGGTGAAATATCAGTATTACCCGAAGTGATCTACAGATTCAATGCAATCCCTATGAGAATTCAAATAGCATTTTTTGCAGAAATAGAAAAATCCATTTTAAAATTCATCAGAATCTCAGGGGCCCCCAAATAACCAAAGTAATCTTGAAAAAGAAGAGAACAAAGTTGTAGGTCTCACATTTCCTGATTTAAAAACTTACTACAAAACTATAGCAGATGAGATCGGGCGCGTTCAGGGTGGTATGGCCGTAGACACAAAACTATAGAAATCAAAACAGTGTGGTTTTGGCAATAAGACCAAAGGAATAGAATAGAGAGCCCAGAAATAATCTGTCATCTGCATGTTCAAATGACTTCAACAAGGGTGGCAATATCATTCATGGTGAAAATCCAGTCTTTGCAACTGGATATCATGTCCAAAAGAATGAAGTTGGACCCTGACCTAACATCATATATAAAAGTTAACTAAAAATGGATCAAATATTTACACATAGAAGCTAAAACCATAAAACTCAGAAGAAAATGTAGAGGAAAACCACATTTGCTTGTGGAAAGGCAAAATGTATAACCACCATGGGGGTGATATTTGGCAATATTACCTTTGACCCAACAATCTCACTTCTAGGAATGTCTCCCAAAGATATACTTTCAAAAATATGAAATTACAGGCACAAACCTGTGAAACTGTAAACCACTCAAACGTCCAGTGACAGGGAACTGGTTTAATAAACTACAGTGCATCTAAGCAGTGGAGAACTATGCAGCTGTAGAAAGGAATGAGAAATACCTTGATATATTGGTATGGAACAATAGCCAGGCTATATTGTTAAGTGAAATAAAGTAAAATGCAAGTTATGGTATGCTACCTTTTGTATGAGAAATGGTGAGAAAATATTGGTATGGTGGGAAAACATTTGTTTATATTTTTCACAAAGTAACAATGAAACAATACATCAAAAACTAATAAAAATGGTTTCCTATATTGGGAGAGAGAATGCAGGATAAAAGGGCAAAGATAGAAGAAAAAGTTCTGTGGGTGCATCTTGTTATATAGTTTTGGCTTCTGAACCATATAAACGGTTTATATAATTAGAAAACAGGAAAAATAAATCCCTAAAATTGAAAACAAATGGAAACAAATGAACATAACCATGTATCAATTTGGTATCATAGCTATGTAGATAAAGCAATTACTTCATTTTAAAATACAGTATACCCCTGGTAGGATGTATTCTAAAGAAAAAAGAACTGTGAAGAAATTTTATACTGCATTTGGTTGTCTTATTTGTAGTAAAAATAGTGATGACATAGGAAAAGACAGATATAATTGTGTTAATACCATTAGAATTTGAGATTTTCACTGTAAAAGAGATATAAGTATAAAATTTTAAAAGTTAAGTAAAAACAGTAATGACTGCAATGAATTGAAACATCAAATATGTATAAATCTGTTCATGATGATGCTTTAAAGAACACATTGGTTACCATTGGAGGTTGCCAGATTACTAAGTAATGTAATTTAAACATTGATGAATAGGGGGGGGTTAATCAAGTATCCTGCCTTTCCTGTATAAATAAATAATTAGTGAGGAATAGTTCTTCATAGATGAGGAAGGTTTTTGTTTTTGTTTTTTAAGATTTTACTTTTAAGTAATCTCTACACCCAATGTGGGGCCCAGACTCACACCCCGAGGTCAAGAGTCACACATTCTACCGACTGAACCTACCAGGTGCCCTGAGGAAAAGTTTTTTGTGAATGAGTGCCAGCTATGAATAAAGAAGCAATGATAGGATAGACCATCACCCTTTTGCATCCTCTAATGATGTAAAGGCTATCTGGGAAACATCACCTAAGGTTACTAAAAATATTGGGTAAAATGTTGATAGGGAACTTTACAATAGAGAAACCTGGCTACACCACCAGAGCCCAATGATCAATTTTAGCAACAATAAAGCTAGGACAATAATGTGTACTTTGTGGTGTGATGTAATTGAAAGTACACAACCATCCATTGAGTATTCTTGCATAAAAAAATCTAATTAGGCTTCTAACTTATTTTACAGGAAATATGGGGGATAGAGGGATAATTAGAGCAATGACAGGAGAAACAGCAATAGCTTAAAATAATTTTATCAGTAAAAGTGGAGGAAAATGGAACTAAATGAATTAAACTTTCAATTCCAAACCTTTAAGCAAACAGTAAAAGAAACCAAAGAAAGCAGGAAGAAGAAAATAATAAAGATTAAAAAGTAGAAATTAATTATTGGAAAATAAAAAATAACAGAACTAATAAATCTTTGGGAAAAGGAAATAAAACAGTTCTTAGGCAAAAAATAAATAGACACACTACCAGCTAACCTAATCAAGAGAGGAAACAAAGGGAGAAAATGCACAAAATGAGAAATGACAAGGAAGATCTAAACTTTGCAATGGTAGAAGTTTTTTAAAGTTTGAGACTACTTTGTACAATTTTGTGCAAATGCACTTGAAAATCTAGTTGAAAGAAATAATTTCCTAGGAAACTTAAAATTTCTAAAATTGTCCTTAGTAGAGATAAAAGTTTAAATAAATCAATTTTCATGGCAGGAATAGAGAACAGCCTGTGCAGCAGAGATCTCTATAAACGGACTTGGAGTGTTTTCAAGGAATATTGTTAAATGAAAAAAAAAGTGGTGGAAGGGCGCCTGGGTGGCTCAGTCATTAAGCGTCTGCCTTTGGCTCAGGTCATGATCCCAGGGTCCTGGGATC